ACACCCGCACCTACTACTACTACTACGACTACTACTACTACTACTACTACCACTACTACGAGGAAGAGCGCAAAAGGTTTTGGGACCAATGTGTTGGCTTGTGTCTCAGAACTGGCACAAAGCAGAACAATCGCAACGACGAGCGACCAGAATGGCTAACCAAGTACCATACAAGCAGCTCGTCCATTGATAAGCAACAATCCGAAGCCCTGCAAGCACATGCTTGTCTTTGTGGGTGCAAAGCATAAAATTGGGAATGCAAGCACGAGCAGAGAGCCGGATCCCTGTCACGAAACAAAAGAAGTGTCACGCGAAACCCAGGCACGTGACCACCGTTGCGCTTGTGCGCACAAGCTCATGTCTGCACACTTTTGGTGGAATCGCATCTTAACATTCCAACTTTGTGGCGTGTGTCACAGGACGCCGTGAATCATGAAATATTCTGGACCAATCGTGGAACGTGTGTTAGGCCACGGGGACTGTGGAAAACAATCAGTATCCGTATGTCCAGTTGGGAATTCAAGAGGCAGTGCAATTTCTGGGTTTCGTTTTCGCCTTCGCATGCCGTTTGCAAGGCAGGGGATTTAGTACCCGGACTTGCGCATGTTTTCGCTTGTTCGCGGTTATCGCGGTTCATGTTTCTGAATATTCCTTTCCGTCGGCCTTCAGTGGCATCCGATGGCGGGGTGATGGCGTTCACATTGATCACTTCGTCCTCTTGATGTGCGAAGTGTATTCATTTTCACTGGAGACTCCGCCTTGCCAACATCGAAGCGTGACTCATCCTGCTGCTTGTGCAATGTAAGCACTCGAAATCATCAGCCTTTTCAGTTAATCACGGCCGCACACGAACAGTGTGGGGCCAATCCGAGTGATGCTCGAGTGGTTTTCAGACTGTCTCATAGGGATTTCAGGATTGTGGAATTGGCTTGTCCTACGAAGTGACCTTCGGAGGGTCCAGGGAGGTATGGCCGCAGGAAGACAGGGATCCAAGCTTTTGCCTGTGCTTCGAGCGTGGTTGAACCTAAGGCAAACTGCTGACCCGGCGGAGATGGCGACGGCCCCAAAGCAGGCGAGGCAGATCGCAATGTGCATTATCCTTTCTGCCTCTGCCTTGCTCGGCCTGGGGGGTGAGAGCCAGGCGGGTTGTGGAGGGATTGCTCACTTCAGGACGCGCCCCAAGAGTTTGTGCTGGCCAGCGAGGCTGTGACCGTATTGCTTGAGAATGTGAATCGTTCTTGGTTCATTGGACATCGGCCAGGTGACTGAGGGGGAATGTGCAGGAACCGTTTTTTCGCATGACATTACACTGCAGGAACATAGACCGTATACGGCAGTGCTTGGAGTCAAGGAGTGGAGGCACGTGCCGAGGCCCTAGGCATCATGATGTGGCCGGAGCCATCGTCGCTCAGTCGGGTCAGCAGGCAGGTGCAGGAGGAACAACCGCCACAAAGACTTACAGCAACTCTGGCAAAGATCAGAGCGATGGTTTGGCAGCACGCCTTGATGACCAGAGCACAGGACTGCCACGATGCGGTTCGACTTTACAGCCGTTAGTCATGCTGTCAACTGCAACAAAATGCCACTGTGAGATGCTGCACGCACCGTGAACGCTAGCGAACACCGGCGGGAGGCGAACTTCAATCTAGTGTTCCAGAGCCCACGCACGGATTATTTGGAAGGCAGCTTCAGGAGAGATCCCGTTTCTTAGGCCTTGGTGCAGGGGAAATTGTCTTGATGCATCTCGTCGTGACACATCTGATGCTCACATTATATGCAAAGGCCACCACCCTGATGCCGTCCGAGAAGGCAAGTGGGGCCAGAGCTGCGATTTCAACATTCGATAAGCCGTAGCCTTCATGAAACGTGCTGTCATGCTGGTGTCACCTCCCGCTATCTTGCATCTGGATGTCCTGCAGAGTGAGATAAGTTTGTGAAGATCAAAAAGAACTCCTGCTGACAAACGTACGGCCTGATGCTTTGTCTAGGTGTCTGTATGTATGTACGCATGTATGTATGCATGTATGTATGCATGTATGTATGTATGTATGCGTGTTAGAGCAAACATGTCTGTGCCCTTTTGAGGTGCCCCCCTGCGAACTTCCGCTGTGGTCGGCTTCCCAGTTCTGTATCCTACACTTTCACGCATTTTGACACGCTTGGCGTGAGAAAAACGTCAGCGGTGACTTTCCGACCATGTCTTGCGTTATTTGTTGCCTCCAGCCATTTGCCCATTCGCGCTGCCAATTCAGATAGTTGCTGAGCCGATGTTGTGAAGGTTTACAGGCCCCTCTGCGCGTTGCGCCAGAACGAAACCAATCACACGGCACTTCCGCCCCCTTTGTGACCAGTCGCACACTCCTCCATCAGCGAGAAAGACCATGATCACCTATTGATGGTAAACAGCTTGCGAAGAGTAAGGTTTTGCCAGCGATGCCTTGATCAATCCTCGAAGTCGGCATAATGAGAATCTTGCGGTGATACAGCAGAAGTACTGCTTAGGCTTGCCTGGTGTTGGTAATGCAGAGGAAGGAAGCGGAATGTCATGTCGGACCATGTGATCCGAGCCACAAAATGTACTGGTTCCTAAAGATTTACGACGTCATCAGTTCTGCCGGCGGCGGTCCGAAAAACTGCGTGTCGCCACTACTGAATCGCAGAGATTCCAGTTAGGCCAATGCAGCAGATCTCGGAGCACTGAAGCACGCCCTGCTTCCTTTGGTGCCGATGATGCTGCTGTGGACTGTACAAACATATGCATGTCGCCTCGCCGGTGCATGTCTCATCATGTCTCATTTCCCTGCCAAGGGTTCAGGAACTCCAGCTTCGGGTCTTTGTGTCATAACCTGTGAGAACGCCCAAAGCGGTTGGCTGGTTGGGCCCATCGTGCGCTGGAAGGGAAGAAACCCGGAGCTTCTCAATCGCGATACGTGGTTGTCAGCGTGACGCACTGCCAGACCTCGACGCACTACTGCTTGCCACCACCGAGCTGTTTGTGCAGCTCGGCGCTGATGCAGCGAATGCAAGCATCACGAGGAGTGGATTTGCATTGAGATCACGAAGACCAGCAGCAACTGGTTACCTGATACACCAGGTTCACTCTCGTCCACCCGGCTTTCGGTTGTTGCCACGTGTGTAGCTTGCAGTAGCTGTGGCATCAGTACTGTGCAAGGCTGGTCCTGCGTGGTGGGGAAGTATCCTGGGGGGTCTTCGAGCGGAACATCACTAGCTTTTATGATCATGCTGCGGCTCGGCACTCTCGCCGGACGCACCACCAAAGCTGGTTAAAAGCCACGTGCCGATGAGCAGCTGCCTGTGAGAGCACAGTGGTCTCGTCGTCCCGGCTTTTGCAGCATCACGGTAGACAGCCGAGGTGCGTGATGCCGAACCCAAGAGACGTGGCGGAGCTGGCGTGCCCTTTTTAAAACTCACAGAGATGCATGTTTTTGCTCGTGGGAGATTCATCGTCGCAGTGAATCCCTTCGTGATGTGGCACGAACGCAGGACAAAAGTCTGCAGACAAGAACCAAAGTGATAGAAGTTGGCATTTTTGAGCTACGAGTCGTTGCTACTCGCGGACCTGCATTTCCTGCTGTCATCTTGGATTTGTGACTAAGGCTTCTGTCAGTCAGTGGGTCATCAGGAAGACCGCCGCGAGCCTCATGTTCATAATTCATTGTATGATTAGGGGGTGGGGAAAGCCCGAGGCACGCAAGCGAGCAAGCAAGACTAAACACTGGGTTCACTGGGGTCCGGAATGCCCCGTCCATCTGCAGAAAACAGTGTGCGGATGCAGCACTAGATGCGAAGGTCCCACGAAGGTTGGACCTGTCGTCTTGACCGGGGAAACGAAAGAAGGAAGCAAGCAAGGAGGAACGAGGTAGGAAGAAGGCAGGGCAGGAAGGAAGCCAGAGGAGATAGAGCGTGGGCGGGACAGTTGGGTAGGAGCGGGCGTGCCGGGAGGGAGGGAGGTTTAGATCACTTCACTTGATTTGATTGCAGGGTGTGCTTCTCGTTTTGCTCATGTGCCAGTCCCTCCATGGCACGGCTGTCCGTTTGAGAAGTTTCAGCGTGGCAGGAAAAGGTCTTGGAAATTGCGCCAGCCTCAGACTAGAGCTTGCTCCGTAGCATCCCAACGGTGATGTAAATTTGGAATTGAAGAATCCCCTGGCTGGCATACCCATTCACCATTCGAAAACCAAGAGAAGCACAGCTTGCAGGTGAGGCATGTTCCCGGAAGCAATGTCCCGTCGAAGCGCATGAGGTTGGGACGCCGGTTGCTCAGGAATTATGTTGATGCGGTCGTGATCAGTGACGTATAGCACACGACTGGCCGCCATGAGGTCGCGCCTGGGCACTCCTCGGACGGAGGCCCCTCACTGACACTAGATGCAAGAGAAGTTTTGAAGGGTAACTTCTTCAACGACTGGGGCGAACTGGAGCACTTTCGGCAAACAAGAAGAGAAATGCAGCAACAAAAACCCTTTGCAGTCGGAGTCGTGGCACGCGGCCATAGATTCGCGGTCCAACCGCCGTTGTCCCGGCCTACCGGAGAATGCGGTCCTGAGCTGGACTGCGAAGCCAAGAAGGGCCGCCACCTCGACAGCCACATTTCCTGCCGGTTCTGGAAGCAGTTGACATCCGGACTCAGCTGGCCTGGCGGGAACACTGACCGATTTTCGGCGAGTGTACAATTTCAGCGGTCCTCCTTCCTCTTCTCTGGCTGGGATCATTCCGTGGTGCCCCGGGTTCCGTGCTGAATGAGGCGATGCATCAAGCTGAGGAATGCAGCATGCTAAACCTTGCAGGGGACCTTGTTGCCGTCCTATCGTGTGCATGAAAGACAAGTTAGGAAAGCTTGAAACTGCATGAGCTATCAGGTTTGGTGTTAGAACCGAAAAAGTACCACGGAAAGTTCTGTCAGGGGCCGTGGATTGGCAAGTGTGCGAAGCGTCAGTATCGGGAGCCCGTCACGAATGCATACATCTCATACCGATACGCATTGCCGAAATTCTCTTTGAGGTGATTATATTGCATGCTTCTGCATGTGAGTCTTCGAATCGTTGCCAATTGCAAGTCGCTTCGCACATCGAGCTTTGGCAGGCTGCATGAGGCGCAAGCCGCAGAAGCTCGGCGAGCAGGTGTGCCCGAGCCAGCCACCCAGCGAAGTCTGCAGTGCCTTCTTCACGTGAGCACGTTTCGAACATGGTGCAGGCAAGCAGAAAGACCGGATGAACTTCTAAGTGATGGCATGTGCACACAGAGGAAGGTTTTCAGACAGGGGTGCCCTGGGAGCTGGGAGTGCAAGTCGGCATGGGATGTCGGGCATTGATTGGTGCAGAACCATCCAACAACCTCACCTTAGTTGCAACACTCGTAGACATTTGACATCTGCCCCTTTGAGATGGCAACATGGCCGTCCTCGTTACCTGCGATCAACCTGCAGCGCTTGAATGGTTGAGGAAACCTCTGCACCAAGCACATTTGTCCTGGAGCCTTTGCCAAGCATTGAGAGCGCGTGATGCTAATGAAGTATAAGTTCGGGCCGTGGAAAACAAGCCCACGAATCTGCTAGTTCTAAACCTATTTGAGGGCTCCCTTCGCTTACAAGTTGCGAGACCAGCAAGTCAGCTTCAGGAACTGGAATGCCTCGAGTGCGACAGTGGCTTATTGCTATGCCTAGACGGTGCGACGGAGGTCTTGAGTGCCGGCTCGAAGATTCAGACGACGCTGCTGACAGGAGATTCTTGGCAGGAGGCGGCGACGGCGCTGTACGGCATCGAGGCACAAGTGGTGGAATCCCAGCAAGGTCGGGACGATGCACGTGGCAGGCACTGTCCTTTGGACTTCTCGATGCTGATAAGTGTTATTGAGGCCTCCTCCGGTCAGTCTGAAGTCGGTGCAGACGTTCCAATTGCGCGAAACTCCTTCAAGTTGCGATTGAAAGGTACTGTGCGATGTATTCCCTGGAGTGGCATAGGGTGGAAAAACGTCCATCTTGACACCGTGCCCAAGTCTGGCCGGGGTGGCAAAGTGGATGCGCACATCGCAGCCGGACCAAGGACATGGCGAGTGTCCCTGGAAGCACGATCCGTTAAGCTGAAGACATCTTCGGCAACGGTTTTCGCTGCTTACTCCTATGGGCCTCTGAGATGCGGGCCATCAGCTTCTCGGACTTTTCGGACTCACCCTCCGGTCCTGGCAAGACACAACGTTACAACTCATCTCCCCAAGGGCTTTGCGGCATATTCCTTGTCTGCAACGAAGGAGGCTCTTGAAGCTGCTTTTGAGGAGTCCTTGCACATTGAATTGTGGACGCGGGATGCATTCCGAAAAGATTCCTTGTTGGCTGTGGCAGAAGTCTCCTTGGCATCGGCATTCTCACAGCCCTTGAGACGTTCGGCAAGGTTGCCGAGCATGGTCCATGGTTTTCGCGTGTTTGACCAAGTGTGTCTTCTGGGCAGCGCCGAAGAGAAGCTTCCAGACATCGTGGGCGAGATTCGTATCCTCTTCTTCGTGGAAGACTTGGGGCCCGCTTCAGTGCCTGTGCCTTCCGACGGAGCTGTGCCGGACATTCGACCGAACTCCGTCAACTCAGGCAATGGACCATCTGACCGCTCTGGCCACGAAGTTGCGGTCAGTTTGGCAAGGTTTGGGCAGCACGACGACCCACAGGCGCTCGAGGCACTCGCTGCTGAAGGGCTTGAGGCTCTAAGGTCCAGCCCTGCATATGGGGTCGCTTTTTCCTTGGAGCTCTGGAAGCAGCATGAAGAGGAACGTGCCAAGGTTCGTCTGCGAGAGTGCGAGGCTCGCTTACGCGAGCAGCTTGAGGAGGAGTACCGTCAACGCGAACTGGTGCGAGTGCAGACTTTCAGGCAGAGACAAGTAGAGCTCAGGGAGTTGGAGCAGCGCGCCAAGAAGAAGCTTGCAGAAATCCAGCAGCGGGAGATGTCAGTCAACTCGGAACTATCCAATTCGGCTGTGGTTCAAGAGCAAGCAAAGCGAAAAGCCGACCTTGCCATCCAGTCTTGTGAGGAAGCTCTGCGACGTCAGAGGGCAGAAACTGCGCAGGCATTGGACTTCGAGGACAGAAAGCACTCTGCACTCGAGTCCAGACTGAAGGAGTTGGAGCTTGAGGCATCAGAGGCCCGCAAGAGATGTTCGGAGCTGCAGGCCACTTTAGCAAGCAAGGAGGCAACGGACTCCAGTGCAACGTTGTCAGCAGAGCACGAGCTGCGGGGTGCCTTGGCTGCATACTTGCATGAAGACGTGCTTGTGACGCTCTCGGCTGTTGGTGTTGCCAGCGAGCCAACAGAAAATATATATATATATATAATGTGAAGAATTTGCTCAATGTGCGAATGATGGGAGTAGTATTCAAATCGCTCTTCAGGCCTACAGCTGAAGCTGTGTGAGGAGAAGGTGCGGTGCGAAACCCTGGCTGCGTCACGCGACCACTTCCGTCGAAAGGTTGAGGAGCTTTGTCAGCGAATCTTGCACCAGCAAGTGCCAGAGGCTATGCCAGAGGAGGTGGTACCCTCAAACGAACTACCGTTGCTTGCTCCAGCTCCAGTTCTGCAAGCTGTGGCGAGCAACTCATCTGCACACCCGCGAAGCAAGCCATCGCCCGACTTCAGTTTAGAATGGCTTCAGCAACAGAAGAGTGAGCTATTGGCGAGCGGCCTGTACACAGACGTTTCTCGGCAATGTTCAGTAAGGCGTTCACTACGGACAAGAGCCGTTGATACTCAGCGATTGCGCTGACACAAGATACGATTCGGAGATACTCGGGGCTTTCTGCAAGTCTCCGAGGATGACGCTGTGATCCGGGCACTGAATGCACAAATGGAAGAGCTACAAAGCAAGCGAGCCCACTAGCTTTTATTTGTGCTTCTCGCCTGCACTTTTCGAAGACGGGGACAGCAGAGCGGCTTCGCATTCCCACTGCCCTTTACGTCAATGACCGTGCAGATCAGCTTGGCAACATTAAGAGGAAATTGCCGAGCTGCAGGCACCCACTGACTCTGCGACTCTGAAGGTTTGTTCCGCCCGGAGCTCCCACGAGCTCGGCTTGTTGGCATCAAGGCAGAAAAAGCAGCAAGTAATCAGTATGTAGCAGCTGCACGAAATCGTCCAAGCAGATATTGAATGAAGTGTTCGAACGTCACTGCCTGCTATGCCTCCAGCCTCAGGCCTGATATTGGCTTGGCTTGTCCTTTGTCGCGAGTCTGGCTTGATTTGCGGGCACAGCACTCCACCCCTGCCCGTTTGGCTTTGGGCCCTCTCGCCAGGTCGAAAGCCCACGCCATCGTGCTGCAGAATTGGATGGGCAAGATCTTCTTGAAGGACCAGCTCAGGACAGGTGTTCTATTGCAGCAAAGTGCCTTCAGGATCTCGGCTCTGCCCACGGAACTTTCCTGAGCGGAGTGCGATTGAACCCTCATGAGCCGCAGTCTGAGTTTACAGTCGATAGCAGCTCGCAGCAGCCTTCCCACCCTTCCCATCCAGGCCTTTTGAGTGGCAAGCTGGCACGAAAGCGGGGGGACTCGGCTTTGCGATGCCGGGCTTGTGTTTGTGGATCCTGCGAGCAGCAGCCGCAACCGCAGCAGGCTTTATTTGCGGATGCCAGCACCGAGTTCTTCGAGCTGAGAGCAGCTTGACGGTCGGGCACAAAATTGGCACAAGATGAACACAGCGGCAGGTGACATGAACTTGAAGCATCTTGCAGCAATCGCAGTCAAGAAAGTATGTTTCAGGTATATCAGAGTTAGGGACTCCGCATTGGCCCGTGCATCCTGATGCAATGCTGCAATGCTTCGCAGCGACTGCTGGGATGGTGGCAGGGGGGGGGGGGGGGGGGGNNCGGGGCGGTCACAAATTTGGAGCAGCCGCTGGCGCAAGTATGGCTCAGACTGCAGACGCTCGCATCCACGTGTTTTGCCCGTGAGAGCAGTTTACATTGTCGGGCTTGTGAGGCTTGCGAGGTGCATTTTGTTAGAAGTTTGCATTGAGTTACGTCAGATTAGGTATAGCATGGTATAGCACTTCTACCTTTACTTCTCATGATTGCAGCCGTGGGCACTGTAGTCAGTAGCTAGACGATTTGACGCCATGGCATTGAGGGGTGCAGCGCGAGCCTCAAGCGTCCTGTTCGGGGCAAAATTTCACGGGAGATCAGGAAGACATTTTCCGAAGGCAGTGAATATTCTTCCCAGTACCAGTATGTTTCGTTCCACGTTCGCACCTCAGATGCGCCTTCTGACTACTGAGAATGACCGTAGCGCCATGTGACCATTGCAAGGGCGTGGCCACTGCAGTGGCTGGGGTTCGAGGCAGGTTTCACACGTGGCCATTCAGGTGTTTGTTGGGGGATTCAGTGCGCGCAGGCCACAATCCCAGGCAGTCCATTGGCAGCCAAGGGCTCTTCAAAAGACACAGGCCAGGGTAAACCGTGGATATCCGAAACAACAGGCCATCACTAGGAATTGAACTGCATGCAGTCGTGTTCTTATCCTGCTGTGTGAATTTGGAGGCTGGTTGGCCAGCGCTTTCCTGGCTTTGTTAATTTGTTTGGCCGCTTCATCCTCAGTTGTTGGGATCAAGCAACAAGTAACAAGAGCATGCATTGCAGCGCGGTGAGCGTCAGATCGCTGCCTTCTGCTGGATGCAGCGAAGGGAACGAATTGTTGAGCAATATGCGGAGGCCTGGAAGTTCTCCCGCAAGTGCACGTGGTGCTTGTAATTGTACTGTAAAGACTTGAGCTGCAGATTTACATCCCACTGAAATCAGTCTTGTTTCTTGAGACACGTTGAGTGCTGCTGCACGAAGCTGCATTGGCATACACTCGAGGAGGAGTCCCGCATGCGCAACACCATTGCAGAGGCTCAGGCACACGATGGGCTGGCATCAGATCCGAGCTTTGCCGCCGTTGTCATCCTGACTTCTTGCCAATTGCCTGACATGTTAAGTTTGATCGAGCCATTTGGCTCGAAATGAAAAGCAGCAACGCTTGATCTGATCAGTGTTGAGTATTTATATTAAACGTAACACCAAGAAGTCGTGACTCACGACAGGAAGAAGTTGAAGCTTGAGACCACCGTAAGAGTTTCCACTTCAACTTCTAGCGGCACTGTTTTAAATTCTAACGGATTCCTGCGGTACTGTAGAGGTGGAAAGCCGTTCGGACTTGGATTTTCTGTTGCTATTCAAAGGACATTGAACCCAGAAAGGACGGCGCACCTTTCAGCAGTACAATGAAAAACAAACCAGTCGCTGGATTGTAAGCGGGAAGCACATGGCATGGCAGTTCTGACACCCCACACGTGAATGTAGCCACCATCGAATGGGACAGCAGGCGCAACAGTCGCGTGTGGAAAGCCTGGTTGAGGTCTGTCGCAGTGTTTGAACGGGATGAGAAGTACGAAGAGTGCAGGGGTGCACATCTCTTCTTTCCAGGCGGCCAAATCGCTGGCGCCGTGCGTTGTCCGTGGCAAGGCTAGTGACGCAGAGGGGGACCAGCAGCAATTGAGTCTGTACCAAACTCGGCGCATCGTAGCAATGTCTTCGGTCTTCGGTGTTCTTTTGCGCCAGCGAGTATAGCTGAGGTGCCTCCAGAGAGTAGAAAGGCTGTTGTCAGACACCGAGACGCTCGAGCGAGAGCAGAAGCCTCAGTCTTTGACGCCGTCTTTGACAGCTTTTTGGTATTTCTTGGTCGCTCCACAGAGATGGGCCCCCTTATCTTTGGATTCTCCGAGGTGCGATGCCCACTTTCGCCGAGCCGGTCTTGATGCACATGGTGCCATGAGGCGCCTCTGCTGGCGGATAGCGTCGGATAGCCCTGATGCATGTCGCCACGCGATAATACTCGCGGGCTGGTGGCAGATGTGCCAAAGGCTGCGATGGCACATTTTGCACCACTTAGCTTATGATGTGAAGGCGCATTGAGCTTCGAAGACTGCTCTGGACTTTTGCACACAGCCTCGGCTCCACTGAGCCGCTTGGCCAGAATCCTGGAGTGAACGCACATGAGCACCACAATTCTTGTCAAGGTTAACATGGGAAGCCATAGAGGCTCGCAACTCAGAAGGGTGCATTTGCCTTCAAATGGTGAAGCGTTCCGCCTTCCTTTATGCCCAAGGCATTCGCGGTCACAGGAACGTTGGAAGCTAATGTGCCTGTGGTCACGAAGGACGAGTTTTACAGGTGATGCCCCGAAGCATTAGTTTCATGTCGCTCCCGGTGTGCAAAAGCCCCCTTTGCTTGGGCCTTTTGCTTCCGGATGGGTTAGAAAGCACTGTACCTCAGATATCGTCAGATCGGGGCCGTTGTAACCCCCAGTGCATTTCCTGCGTAGGCAACAGCCCCGAACAGCTCCAGCACCCAAGTTCGAGACAAAGGCGGTGCAGTTCTTCGATGTTCCGTTTTCGATACTTAAAAACGGCGCTTGTCCTTGATCGTAAAGCTCTAGCCACGCCTTGAAGTCAAGCGGACTGGCGATCGAACACCCCAGAAGCAAGTGTATTTGCTCCACATCGCACACGGGAGCGTCAGGTGTGTGACCAAAACCGTGCACTTGGTTGCAGCAGAGCTGCGCCGCAAGTTGCAAGAGGTCAGCCGCAAAAACCTCGCATGCCGCAAGATGGGCCATCGGGACTTTCTTAGCTTCAAGTGGAAGTGGAGGTGGAAGCCAAGCTGCATCCAGCTCCGCGGCGCCCGCCGCCTGCTCCCCCTCAGCCTGAGGCGGCGAAGCTTCAGCATTGACTGAGGTGTTGCCTGGTTTTGATTCGGGTTGGCAGGTGCGAAGAGATCCCCACTCGACTCCGAAAACACCTGGGAGGCTCGCGCTTACTCTGTGGAAGCTGCTTGAAGGCTGGCCACAAGATGCTTCTGCCGCGAGACTTGCAAACACACTTGGAGCTGATAGGCATTCCAGTCCCTGGGCTGCTTTGGCTGAGCTGAGTGGCGACTTGGAAGGGGATACCTATCTGCTTTCGTTCCCCTAGCCGCTCTGGCCCTAGGCCCCGAGGCATGATTTCTCATGTGCCGACTCACAGCAGTATTATTCAGCTGGAGCTGCAACAACCTATCTCTCGCCGAAGCGGGGGTTGGAAGCAACGTATCCGGCCCAGGAGAGCGTCCAATCAAGGGTGTTGCATGGAAATGAACTGCAACATAGCGCAGTGAGTGCCAGGTAAAGGATGTCCCAGACTGCGTCAAGTCGTCATCGGAAGAAAGAAACCTTCCGGGTTTTCAAACTGCCAAAGGTCCCAGAGACAATGCAGCCGAATGTAAATATCAAGGCCTTTGAAGGCCAGAACAGCCTGCCAAAGTCGAATGGAGAATCGTCCACTCCAACAGCAAGCCCGGGCGCGACGTCAAAGAGTGCACTGCGTAGTATAATGTTTAATTATAAAACACCGAAGCCCCAAGAAAGAAGGCTGCATAAGCGTGCCTGGAAAAGTCAAGGTTGTTCTCTCAAACACTGGTGACTCGTCCACTCCAACATCAAGATACATCAAGCGCCAGGGCGACGTCAAGGAGTGTACTGCGTTGTAAGGTGTAGATGTAAACCCGCGAAGCCCGTGAGTGCTGTGTGAACCTCTCAAGCACTGGTAAACTACCACACAACCAGGAATGAACAAGAAGTCTTGGAATTGGGAAGGAACGTTCACCAGCCAAGAGCCGGATTGCAATTGCAGTCCACCACTCCGGCCCCAAATACCTCATGGTATTCCGAGCAGACTGCAAACAAAGCCTCCGCAAAGCAGCAACGACAGATCGAGGCAGCGACGCGGCATCACCCGTGTCTTCGCATCTTGACAGATTTTCTGGTAGTCAGGTTGGCGCACTTTGGAGTCTGTGAGCTTGTTTGTGTTCGGCACTGCATGGCTGCGACAATTGCAACGGAGGCGCGAGTCTCACCACTTTGAGCCAGCTGAAGAAGAAGGTGTTCTACCGTCTCAGGCCAGTCGGTAGACAAGGCCTAGGCCTAGGTGCTTCCTTGTCAGTCGGTACGTGCTGCAACAGGTCCACTTCGGGGCTCTTTGTGCAGCATACCTCATCCCTGAATCCGGCCTGGTAGGTTAACAGCCCACCAAGCTGAAGTGATAGAGGTCAAGCTCTACAGGTGTATTCAACCCCTTGTTATGCACACAGGAGGTGCATGCTGCTCCCGTCAGTAAGCATGACACATGTGAGCTCCATCGACGTGTGTAGGCCCTGTAGATCCCGTAGGCGGTCACCAAGGGCAATGATTTGATGCTCCTGACTTGCCCGGCAGAGTCTGCACACCAGGGTAGAGAAGGTAATCATTCGGGGCTCTTCCTGTGCAGGTCGAAGCGAAACTGGCAGCACATTCCCAGGCGCTCAAAGCTTCGTCACAGAAGAACAGAGCAGCAGAGTAAATCTCGACTGACATGCAGCACACCAAGTTCGGTCCTGGTTGGACTTGCAATGCTACAGTCGGCAACTGTCAGCACGACAAAACTGCTCAGGAGAAGTTGATTTCGCAAGAGTCCATCGAGCAGTCTTTCTTTCGACCAGCTCCCGATGACGAGGCGGTTGGCGGCGGACGAACGTAGCCCACCCAAATTTCTTGCGTCGTGAACAGGACCATTCGACAGCTCGTGAGCAAAGCCAACCAACACACCAGGTGCGCTTCGAGCAGTTTATGCCCGAATGACGTTAAGGAAGTTCCACTCTTCGCGAGAACTAGACAATCAGAAGGAATTCGAGGAGACTTGCAGGCAGAATACGAGCTCGAGGTTGCATCGGTTTCGTAGCAGCTATTTGGCTATTCTTTGTGACTCCACATCGTTGCATATTGGCATTGAGTTGACTTTTCCCCCCAAAAGCATTGCTCCAGTTGGGGAAAAAGAGCGGTGGCAAGTTATTCCAGAACTTATCCCCAGCTGCCCTAGCTATCATGAGCAGGACGAGTCGGGGATCAATGGCATGACTGTTTGCCACTTAGTCAGCTACTTCATGGCGCGGGGCCGTGCTGACATTTGATGTTGCCTTGAGCCTTGAGAGTCCAGGTTCTGGTTCTTAGCAACGAGGGCAGCTTTGATCCACACACTTTGCTCGTGAATGGCGGAGTGCTGGCATTGTCATCGCCTGTGGCGGAGGCCAAGGGATGAACGGGATGTGCCACGGGACACTGAGATCTTAAGCTGATTGTTTCATTACGTCCGAATTCTGCCTCCACCAGCACCGGGGGGAGTTCTCCCGCAAGGCCTCCTGAGGAGAAGACTTCGTTACGACAGTTCCCAGGGCAGCAGCTCGAAGTCTTTGAGAACTTCTCCTGCGCATGGTATCCTCATCTCGTTACTCCACAAGGTAGTCGTCTAGGGCTCAATTAGTCAGTGCCTGGGCATGTTCACGAATGCAACTGTCGGGAGTACTACGGACCGACATGTACTGCAATCGGCACCGCGCCACACCGCAGTGGGAGTACTGTAGTAGCAGCAGCGGAAGGACCCTGAATCTTGACAACGAACATTTCAATGTTGGTTTCCCTATCCCTGCCTGCCCTGTTTGGGGCTTGCTGTGAATGCCGCACAAGGCAGGCTCCGGGCTGTTGGGGATGTTCGACGAGCAGATCTCAGATGGGATCAAACTTTCGCAAGCGCTGTGCAATCACAATTTCACCTGTAGCTAGATTAATGCCTAGGCACGGAGGCTCACGGAGGACTCGTGAGGGTTCTTTTCCATTGCTGAGGCCAATGATGGACGCAGCTCCTTTGATCTTTCCCTGCTGGACAGCACTTTCCCGCAGCAGTTGTCGACATGCCCTTTTAGAGACTGCTGCTCTGTGCTGCAGTGCATATGTTGCGCTGCAGCCAGGAGATGATCGTGCGCGGGGCTGCTGTTGCCCGCACCCCGGCAGCCGCAATGATCCCAGGCCGGCAGCCGCCTCTGCAAGACAAAGTCAGAGTCACGAGTCTCTCGCGGCAGAGTTTTTTTCAGGCGTCGTGTGGAAGACTCCCGAGTCGACTGCACGCACGGTTGTCCTCTTCTTTTCAGCAGGGACGGCCCATGGCTTAGGCTTGGCCTCTTGAGTGCAGCTGATCTCGATTGTGCCATTAAGCCCCAGATTGCTTGAAGCTGTGTGGTTGTGCAATAGTTTCGTGCGAAAGTGTGATGTGGTTGATTAAGAATGCAGTACTGCGCATGCACTGCCATCCCAGGCGGTATGCCTGTGGTTCCAGGAAACACACCACTGCACCCTTTGTTGCGAAGTACTGTGCGACGAGGCGCAGAAACGACGGAAGTTGTTCGGATACAGACAATGCAGCCTTCTCTGCAGCACATGCAGTGGGTAGACAGCTGTGGTGGTATCACTTCGGTTGTGTTGCTCATTCCAGTGGAGACACATGTTGCCTGTCCCCAGGCACGAGCCTGCGGCACAGAGCCTTTTTGTGAAGGCTTCGACAGCTAACACAAAGCTTGCAGAATCCGGAGATCGTCCTCATTGACTCATGCCACACTTGCCGTGTTGAATTGGAACTTTGTAGGCATCGCCGCATTGAGCCAGTAATAAACGTTTCACCCCGTTGTACAAAGGTGCCTGGTTCAGTTGAGAGCCAAGACAGGTTGCTGAGACAAGGAGCTGCTGGTTTGCAATCGTCGTATGGCATTTAACGTGCGCTTCCAACTGGCCTAGAGAGTCTTTTCTCGATTCTGCAGCAGTGAGAGTTGCCGGTGAAAGAGTGCCTGCGCCTGCACAAACTCAGCGACAGCTCAACTGCACAAAGGTTTTTGCACGGTGTTTTCTGGCTTGTCTTGTCCAGGCCAGCATTGATCAGCAAGTGGACTCCGAGATTGCTGCTGCCAGCGCGGCATCCGGGTCGAGGCTGTTTGTCATCTCCGCCCGCTTCGGCATGCGTATCACATGTGCTGAGCTACTCAACCAACTATGCTGTATGTGACATTTCGATTTCCGCTTACATTTCGATTGATGCAGGGCCTATTACTGTTCACAAAGCTGGAGCGTTTCAGCCCGCATCCCTGGCAGTTTCGCAGCGACCGCAGCTGCTTTACCGCGACCGTCCACCGGCAACGCGCTCAATCAGCCTTTGCCTTCAAAGTCGGGAGCTCAGTGGACTCCAGAGACAAATCGTGGAGGTCCAGTCCCGGGACTGGACAGCTAAACGACCCGAGGCCGAAAGTCTCCCTCCCTGGCTGCGGACCACTGCCTGGCAATGAGGCAGGAGGGTCGGCAGGGGTTGAGCCAATTTCTTGCTTGCGTGGGCGCAGCACTGCAGGGAACTTCACGGGCCAGCTTTGCTGCGACTGCTCGAAGGCACCAGTCAAACGTTTCGCTTGTCACTAGAGTCCCACTCGAGCCTGGAAGGTGCTGTAGTTTGGGAGCAGTTCGTTGCGCCAAAGCCACCCCGAAGTACGCAGAGTGTGCCTAAGGTCAGTTATCCAACGTCGATCAACTGACGAGTACATGCTAGGCCCACCCGGTCAGCTAAATGCTTTTGCACAGGGTATCTAATTGTGGCAGTCTGCAGTCCATTGCTTAGTCGTCGACCGACGGCCGCGATGCCTCCCTCGGACTCTCAGTCTCATGCCTTTCCTTGCTTGCATTGTTCGTTTGCAGGTGACAGCAGCTTCATGACCGTCGCATCGGCTGCGGCGAGGTGCCAAGTTTACTGCTGCCACGCTTTGCGCCAAGCTCGTTACCAAGCATGCCATTGCATTCTCCCATGCCAGGGATTCAGCTCACGTTGAGGCACAGGGGCCGAATGTAAAGGCTGCGGACTATGCTTGCACATGGCAGCCGCCGCCTAGTATAAACCTTCGTTTTAAGCCATGACTTGGTCCATGACGTTCAGAGACGACTCACATCAGAGCCCCTAACCATTGACACCACCAGGCCGGCAGAGGAAGCACTTCCACCAGGAGCGTGTGTTCATAACTTCATAATTATTTAACAGCTTGAGCCCGTGGTCGCTGGTGCAAGGAAGTCTGTCGCCTCAACAGCCGCAGAAGCACGGCGAAAGTCGGTCGCAGAGCTGGCGGAATCACGGAAGTCACTGGTCGAGGCAGTTCAACTGTAACACTCTGTGAAGCATGCAGTGCCAGAGTTGCTGCAGTCGATAGGGCAATCCTGCGCCAGGTAATGCAAATGTACGGGCCGGATGAGGAAGAAGCTGCTGACGTTAAAGTGAACAGAACAAGTCTGAGTGGATGGTGCGCTGCTAAGCTTCATGCCTACGGGGTGTGGTGTCTTCAGGAACACAATGAGCCGAGAATTGAACCATGACATGTGACTGTGGAGATCAAGTGGTCAAGAGACAGTTTTGTTATGCAGACAGCCAGAGCACAACTCGCTTGAGATGTTAGATAGCCGCTTGTTGCTTGTCCCGTGGCCAGGTACACGGACGAGAAGGTGCGGTCAATGCTGGTTGAAGTGGTCACATGTGCCTAGAGCAGCGAAAAGGACAAACAAGAGGATGAAGCAGCAGCTGCTCGTGAAAGGTCTTTGTCCAGCTGGCACCTGGCTTAGCAGCATTTTGTTCGCTCGCGTAGACTTTTCCTGAAGCAGTTTGAGCTTTTGAGACTTTGCAGGTATGCTTCTGAGCAAGAGCGCCGAGTGTCGGTCGACCCTGCCAAGGCTGTTAAGCGATGTGATGGTATCTCAGGAACATTGGATCTGAGTCTCACAGGTTTGGGAATCGTCTCGCATTCTCAGCGTCGCGGTCATTCTGACTGCGGCGGCCAGGTTGTCAGTCTGAAAGAAGATGGTGGAGGCACCGAGTTGCCGCAGAAACGATGTGTCTAGACAAGCGAAGCAGATCCGAGAATTTTTTTTTGTGAAGGCATACTGGAGACTTTCATCCGGATGGTAGCATTACATTCGTGCTGTTTGGTACGGCTCAACTTTCTTCGCTTGTAGCAAGCATGCGGCACTGCGACGACTGTAGCTTCGACTGTCGGTCAAAGCTGCCAGTCACAGGAGAAGTTACAGGCGGCAGCCTCAGGAATGGCTTGGCAGAAGCGGACATATTTGCCAAGTGCGGGGCCTGCAATTCTAAGTTCCGTCCGGTGTGGCCCACAACTTGACTGAAGAAGCCACCGCAGCCGCCAGCGAGGACTAAGTGGATCCGTTGCAGCACGGAGGCATCCAGTATCCTTCTCACTGCACATGCAGGAAACCGCCACCAGCATCCAGGGCGCAGCGCAGTGAGTTGCTGCTGCTTAAGCAGGCCTTTGCATCTCGGATGCAGTTTGTAGTTTGCACACAGCCAGCGAGCTTCGAAGTAAAAAACTAAACACACACACACACAGAGAGTTTCCAAGCTTTCCCCTTACGACTCCGGTCGTTTCCTGACCACACACACCCTGTCACTGGTGTGACAAAGGCACACCTGTACAAACTCACAAATCGTTTCAGCTTTCCGGACTGGAAGGCCGCAGCTGAGTATGGCCAGCGACATCGCTCATCCTTGGGAAGCAAAAAGACTTCATGGAGTTGCGAAGCTGCAGAAACCTGCATAGCATTACATGGACAGACTGAGCTGCGCAGGCGTCAGAAGAATCAATGTAAAGGTAGCATGGCGCTGGTTGTAGCATGCAGAATTTTTCAGCGCATGCTGCCGCACATGAATGATGGAGAGGGCGTATCACGACAGCTTTTTGTTGGCACATGAGACCGGACCGTCGATCCAACCTGGGCTGAAATCCGTTGCCTCGGCTTCACTTGCGGGCCATGATTCGGACTGGTCTCAGGCACCTTGCAGCAGCGTCTCGGCTACAACAGCATGCGGCATCTGTTTGCGGCAATCCACTACGGTCTCAAATTTAAGCACTCGTGCCCGCGGAATGGCAGTGTATGCTCGCCTCAAAAGATCTAACCTGGGAAACATCGGAAGTGTTTCGCTAAGCAAACGTCCAAGGTGTTTGCTATTGTGAATGAGGTCTCCGAATGGCCGCGACCATTTCGGCTAAGATGCCTCCTAACGGGAGGCTATTTTGAAGAGCCCACCCGTCCCACCTCGGAGATCGGCTAGAGAAGATCGCTAGCGACCTTCTCCGGGCTGACAGGGATCCGGTCCACAACGTGAAAACAGTGTGTCCGCTAGCGAGTGCAGTTGCGCAGTTGTTCTTGTGTTTTCGCTAGCCCTACGTGTTCCGGTGGTGTTGTAGGGAGGTAGCGGGATGATCGTTTGGTTGGTGTACCTCAAAAAAGTCTGTCAGCGGAAGCTGTTGTGAACGACGAACGATTGAAAAATTATTTCACTTTTCCAGTCTTGCCCTGGAGTGGCTTTCACCGATCTGCAAAGTGCAGGCGCAGGCACGCTCCGACATTGGCTTCAGCAGTGCAAAGCTGAACAAGATGGTCAACCAGCATGTGGGCACGCTCCTCATAGCCAGCGACAACATCTCGAGGCCGTCCTGGGAGCGTCATTGACTGCATGGTTTTTGGTTTGGAGTTTGTCTTAATGTGTCAGGCGTGATTCTGCCCTGCCAGGTCTGAGGTTGTTTTCAAGATTGACCTCACAGCAGTGGGCAGGTTGTCACCGGAGTCTTCCATGCACAGCGTACAGGCTTGTTGTCTCCGTCCGATGGTGGAACGCGTTTGCTGTGCTCGCTGCAGCGCTTGTTTGCACATCGATGTGTGCTTTCCAGGTCGGCGAGAATGTGCACGTCGATTTGTTGCGGCCCTTCTATTCAGAGTAAAATCCAAATTCCATACATGGCTGCCGCTTCGTCATGCTCGAGTTTTTGCCTGAGGAAAGTGCCAGACGAGAAGGGTGGACAAGCGAGATATTTGAGCCACTTGAACGAGCCGAATCTGTTGGCCACCGTTACTGACTGTCTCACCTTCAGTGCTGCAGCTGCACGAAGTATGAGGCTCCTGCAACTGCACTTTTCCGGCCTGCTTTCTGTTTTCTAAGGCGCCGTGCGTGAGATCCTTGCAGGAGCCTGGAAGTGTGCCCTTCTAGACCATTACTCATCATAAGCGTTGTGTGCAAGAGCAGAAGATTGTTCCCCAAAGGAGAGGAGCTCGGCTTTCACTACTGCACTACTGAGTGGACCATGAAAAGTCCTTTCGTTTGTGCTCGCGACGGTGGCAGAGTCCAAGGCTATGCTCATTTGGATCAAGTTGCTCGTCAGACACGGGTTTGAGTATTGTAAAGTCGGTAGCCGACGGACGGGGGCCTCAGTGCACTGTAACATGAGGCTGCTCGGCTAAAGCTACAGCGAGGAGGGCTGCTATGCGCGCATGTGCAACGCTTGGCCGAGAAGCTGTAAGGAGGAACTGGACAAGGTACGACATCCTCCAGGTTGTGCTGAAGGTTGTTCTGCGTGGGACACTGCTGCCGTCCACGAGCTGCATGGACCTCGGTCGGTCGTCCAATGCAAGGGCGAATCCTGAAAGCAGACGCCGCAAAAGAGAAGATGATTCAACCGCGGACATCGACGTGAAGGTGAGCGGAGTGTGAGTGGTGCACAGAAGCCGACGACTTGTAGTGGGGCGGCTGACCGGCGGGAATCATCTTCCTAAGTGTCTTGGTCGGAGCGAAATCAAGCTTGGTTGGACACCGGATCGCAGCAGTTGTCTTCTCCCAGCCAGCTTGCATGGCCGCATGACGAAGCTTTCGGAGCAACTGCGCCGGGGGTCGTTTTATGACAGCCTTCCAGGGCGCAGTATCGAAGTCACAGCATCTCGAGCATGGTCCTTGCTAGTTTCAGAGACAAGAGCTTGTATGTTGCGAGCCCAGTCTTCCAACGATGCGAACTGGTAATGAAGTGTTATCTAAGTAGAAGTCACTAGCACTTACTCTGCCTTACTCTGCATCCATCACATTGGAACATGCAATGTGGTTTACCTACTGGGCCACTACCGAAATCTGCTACTCGGTGACTCTCGCCTCGCTTGGAGCCGGGAACAATACAGACGGCACAGTTGCTGGTGCAGAATGTGAACAAGGACATAATAAGTGCTTGTCTTGGTGATTTGGTTGCCAACAAATTCGATCTTGAGATATTTTGAGACTCATGATTTCCTCAATCGACGCAATCAGTCACTGGAGCCAGAAATGGCTGCAACACAGTCTTTTCAGGCGAGCATGTTTGGTTTCGCGATGTGAGTGCGCTACCTGCGTCGTCGCAGCTGTTTGCTTCAAGCAAACCTGTTGTCTTCCACATGCTGTGAGTACTCGATGTGGTCCGCAGCTCAGTGGGCGCGGAAGTGTCAAAGGCAGTGTTTGGGGTCAGGTGTAGATGTGTGCAAATGAGGAGAGGCGCCCTGCCATACCTGGCTTTCTTGAGCCTCACACTGCTTGTGCAGGCGGTGGAACCGAAACTTCAGAGAAATATCATGCAGTAACATGCAGGAATGCAGGGTCGGACCGGCGCGCTAGGGAGACCGAAGTGATGATACGCGACGCTGTCACGCTGCATGTGCAGGGCTGGCCAGAGTCACCGTGGCCGCATATTCCACTTGTTACAATTGTCACGGATTGCAGGGCGCCCGCGAGGGTGCTGAAGAGTATGCAGAGCTGCCACGGCAGCATGGCAGAGGTGGGGAATTCTCGAGCTTGTTGCATGCCAGGCCCTGCGCATCTGGTAGACGGAAGTGGTTCCAATCCGCATTCGGAAATCACCCCGACATTGACAAGAACCCATGTGGATCACGGAGTTATGCATTGCCGGTCCCCCTGAGGCAGGACTCACGGTCACCACGGCTGGACTCAAGTGCACCGTCACCTGGTGGCACAGGGGAAAATTGCATTGTAGACTGGGCAGCTGGGCAACTATCAGGCACGATTTCCGAGCTTCGGGCTCTTGCGGTAAGGCTGTGCTCGGCTGTCAGAAGATTGCTATGTTTCTACTTCGGGGAAAAGGGCACAGACAGTCGGCCGAGAAAGGTTTCTCGAGGTTTTCTTGCACGAGCACTTGGAGCATGTCTGGCCTTGAGCAGCAAGGCTCCCTTTCGCATGATGTCAACGGCCGATCGAGCAGCCTGTCAGCAATGCGCAGTCTTCGGTCTTTTTGACGTATCTCTGATAAGGGAACCGAGGTTACTCGAGGCTCCTCGTATGGTTAACTCAGCGCAGCAATGCACGATCCAAGCGCATCGCCGACACACCATAGGTGCCCCACAGGTGAAGTTTTCGGGGTACAGGGCAGGCGAGAGTGACAGCAGTCAATGCCAACACCCAAGTTTCCAGTTGACAGGTTGCGGGCGTTTGTGATTTCTTCGTTGACGCTCCCTGTATATAACTTGTCCCAGCCATCCGCTGGCATCATAAGCCACTCCAAATGAATTTATTGAATTGCGGAGTGCGGGGAAGTCTGGGAAGTCCGCCCTGTCAATTGCGTGAGATTGGTTCTCTGCATTTTCACGGCTGCATACAAGACAAGTTTCGAGTGTAAGTTGCATGCTCCTGCCATGTGATTCGACCATCCAGGTTTGGTGCAAGGTGCTCAGCGAAGACACCAGCAAAGGCTGCAAGTGCGTCAACGAGCTCGCAGTCGTGCCCCCAAAGCATTGCTCACAGCGGCCATGCGGATCACGCCTTCAAAGAAGAGCTGTGCAGGGCACAAGGTCCAGCAACGCCGGCATCGCTACGTGGATCCAAGCGAAGGCGCAGGCAGGGCAAAGCATCACCCAAGTTGTTCCCAAAGTCCGGCTGCAAGGACCGGATGATTCAGGCAGTGGGGACGAGTCAACTGGCAAGGCCAAGCACGAGGACTAGGGATGAAGCTGCATTTCAGCAGTTTTTCGTCGCACTGGCGACATCTCGCCACTTGCCAAGGAGCGCGCGAAGATCCAGGAAGCTGCTGCGAAGGACCGGACATTGCATGGAGACGCAAGTTTTGAAGAGCGTTGAAGAGCAGACTTCGCACAACAGCTTCATCATAATGTTGAAGCGGAAGGTTTGCTTACATTTGCGAGATGCCGCATGAAATTTCAACCAAAGGAGCCTGATGACTGCGGACCTTTGCTCGGAACAGATCCTGACCAGGCCGTGCCGTCGGAGACCGCTAGGGCCGCTAGGGCATTGGGGGGGTGCTCACACAGATGGACAGCGGGCCTTCATGATGCGATGCTCAGGGATTTTTCTGGCTTTGCAGGTTCAGGCGCAGGTTCGGCGCTGCTTGAAGCTGCGCAAGCTCCAAGTTCAAGAGGTTCAGGAGAAGCTCCAACAGCGCCGGGGCCCGAGAAGTACAGGACATGTTCAGCAGAATGCCCGACTTTGCTGTCCTCTACCTGGGCATCCTGCGCCAACCATGCCATATGCCGAGGCGCGAAGGACGAGCAGGTGTTGGCGACTGAAGAAGACAGGATCAAGAAGATCCAAGATGCCTGGGCCGCAAACGAAGGGACATCATTTCTAATTGCCGCTTGCACTGCACAAAGGACCTTAGCAACGCCGATGCCATGACTGCGGCCTACACCAACGATGAGCAAATCGTCAAGGTCGGCAGTGGCTTCGAGCTTCGAGAATAGAGAAGCATGGAAAGAATGTTGTGCGGTGCAAGTAGTTTCAATCTGGTATTTGACTGGTTAGTGATCTTGCCAATGCAACAGCAAGGAATGAGCAGTACTTGGTGCATGTTATCCGCCACATACATGAATAATTTATTATGCCATGACCATGCTTCCGCTCGCGGAAGCAGTTTTGTCAAGGCCGCGTTGGAGAATGACGAGCAAAGAGTGGAATCCCGAATCAACCGGCTCGATCACGACGGCGAAGATATCCTTCTGCATTGTGTCTTGCTGGTCTGCTGTTTCCTTTGTTAGCCGCGAATGCCTTTGTTAGCCGCGAATGTGCTTTCCTGCAGCCAAGGACGCAGACCGAGAACTTGGCGACGACTAGCCGTGGAGCTTGAAAGATGTGGCCTACAGTAGTGCTTGTTGCTGGCAAAGTTATGGAGGAAGGATTCGGCAGGATACCTTTATTGCAATGCTTTCTCAGGCAGGTCCATGGTTGGATATGATGATTCATCCAGATTAAAGCTATGCAATATTTGGAGTTCATTTGGATGGGATGAAGTAGGGTTTCTACGAGGGTTACCTCACATTTGGGTCTTCGGTGTCAGAAGGTCGGGGAAAGATCGTTTCTGCTTCAAGAGATTTTCTCTGGTAGTTGAATTGTTGGAATGTAAATTTAGTTTAGTGAGAACTGAGCAGAATGAAAGACAATTATCAGAAATTGTTGATGTGTGTAATTTTTGATTGTCAATTTGCAAGAGGGTTAATTAGGAAGATAGATCGGCAATTAGATAGATTTTTCTCTTTTTTACTATAATTATTACGGACGGATAAAAAAAATATTGAAGATTTGGATAAATAGAAAAGGTAATCTGGAAAGAATGATATTACGCTATAATTATTAGTTGTAAGATGAAGAAAAATCGAAGGAAGAATAATATGATTTTGCACTTCACAAAAATTGCGAAATAAGAAAATATGATTGCTCATAAAATTACTAAAATCTATTAAATATAATAATATATAGTATTATGATATATATATCTTATATTTGTATATAGCTATTTATTGATTTTCTATTTTAAAAATGGATATGAAGTTATATTTATAATTGATTATATATTTTCTTGATTGAATTTTTATTTATAATTGATATATAAGGTATATTTTTTTCTGAATTGCTTTTTCTTTATTTAGTAAATATAGTAATATATGGGAGTCGAAGAATCGTTCTATTTTATAATAGTTAATTTGGATTGTATATTTTAAAATTGAGAAGATTAATTTTAAAGCTTCTTTCGTTGTAATTTTAAATTCTTTATTTCTTATTAATATTGGTTTAATTACAAGAGACAGTTATATTTTAATTTATTTCGAATACTTATTTATTAGGAATGATATTTTTTATTATTTTAAGTAAAAAAAGATTTTATGTAATCGCTATTGTAATTTGGTATGAAAGGTCAAGAATTTTGATTTATGGCTCGTATTCTTAATTACGAGGTGGATGGATCACAAAAAATTCGATTATTATTTCTATATATATTTCTTTATAAGGATTAGAATTTCTATTCTATATCGATTTATTGGTTTGTTATATTTGAATTTTATATCTAGTTTTTTTTCAAATTATGGTTGTTTTTGAAGACATATAATAGTTAGTAATACGGAAATTTTTATAAGGTAGTAAAGAGATCTCTGCCTTAGATTTCTAATTTAAGCTCAGACTTTTTAGATTGACGACTTAGGCAAATAGTATTGTTTTAATGAATTTTTCATGATATTAATGACCAATTTCAGATTTATAATTAATTACTCTCTTAAAATTTATTTGATTGAAATTATTGTTTGGAATTTCAGATGAATCTCTAAAAACTAAGAGTATCTAAAAGAAGATCAAGAAAAATATTCATTTATGATTATCATGAAATGATGAGAGAAGAGCCGATATATTTTAAAAGTAAAAATAATTAACTTTTGAGAGAGAAGATTATCTTCGTACGATTTATGGTTGAATCGGAGAGATTATGAAATAATAATAATTGAAATAAAAATATTCATATAAATCGATTCTTAAATGACGATAAATATTATAATAGAAATAAAAATATTATATATAGATCTTGATATTGGCAATATATAATTTTGAATTTTTATCTATTACTACAATTTTTCAGATTCAAATTAT